AGATCCGCCTAGCTTCAGCGCAAGGGTAGTCGATCCTGCGTAATCCTCCTGAGACGTGCCAGTCCATTTGACCCTGCAATTGACAAGGAGAGAAAGCTTATGAGTAATTAAGGGCAGAACGTGCCGGTGTTGCCAGACAGTCCCGAATGTGCGGATCTGAGAGCCGATATGAGAGGAGATCGACTAAATAGTCAATTCCGGCATATTCATAAGAATAAATCGATTAAAGCTCATGGGGTTGTATAAGAAGAATCAGTTATCATTCAGGATAAATATTATTTAAGCAAATATTAATCAATGGCAATAAGATATTAATGATGATCGGTTTATACTGAGCCAATAATTACAAGTAACCGAACCCCTTTTATATAACGAAACAATTCAACACCACTTAACCATTTAATAAAAATAAATCTAATGAACATGTTAGATCTCATCTATCGCCATGACCAGTGGGGCATGAGGCAGAATCAAGCAGGCCGTAGAAACAACAATAGACTCGACGACCCTAACTCATTACTAATATCAGTGGAGCATGAGGTAGAATCATGTAGGCCGTAATACAATAATAAGATCATGAGGCTAACATATCTTTCAACTTATCTCTACTTCAATGATCTCGTAATGCGAACTGTTCGTGAAAGCGCTCGATATCGGCTAAACATCCGATTCAGGCATAGCGCACAGTTAAGGTCATGCATTCTCAGGAACGGATCTACCAACTAACGATCCCCACTCCACGGTGCTAACAGTGGGGTGAGAGGCAGAATCCCACAGGCCATGATAACGGGTCGTGAAACGGTTCTCGCTAACCAATAGATCTACTCAAGATCGAACATGCCTTAACCGCACGCTATGCATAATTAAGATCGATATAAAACAGCCGATAAAACATAACTCATCGTTTAAGGTATAGATTAGATCAATTTTAGATTAGCAAACGATGGGTTAAATAAGATATAAGGCCGATCCAGATCAATCTCAATCGGGCAGAGTGATATTGCTGTAATTAGATAAACAATGAAAGTAATAAGCAATATCGGTAACTTAATGAATCTACCAAAGACTGTCATCCTAAGGTAGAGCCGATAACTTGACCTTGATCTAGTTCAAGCAGTGGGGTGTGAGGCAGAATCACACAGGCCATACTTGAACTAGGCAAGAGTCGATAACTAGCCTATACTAGAGCCGCAGTGGGGGTCGACCGGATCGATGCAGCCATACGAACAGAGATATAAACCATGACGGTACTTGCAGACAAGCAGTGGAGGTCGACCGGATCGATGCAGCCGTACTCGCTGAAGAACTCGCCGAGATCTACTCTACTCCTACTCCTAAGGGGTGGCCGGAGCCAAAAAGTAATTGACTTGTATTTGATTGATTGTGTGTCTTACAATAGCCGGGGCTTGATATTTATACTCGAAACCTACACATGACTCATATTCGAGTACGACTTAATACAATTCTTTGGTATGAAGAAAATATTCCTATCTTAAGATAACTTGGACTCTAATTTTTTCCCTTTTGTAGAGTCCGACATGTATCTTCTTGGCGCCAATCATATCCTGTCATCGTTATCTGCTGACGTCATTCGGGGAGAATCGATCTAGTGTCGCATTCGATCCAACATGTATCAATCTTTACTCTATCAACTCCTTGATTGGCATAATTCTAGAAGCCTACGAGTTGCCGCGCTCTTCTCCCAAATTTTGGTGTAAACAGTTATGAAAAGAAATTACAGAGTCACGACGATACGTCAGCGCTAGGTAATATCTATGTTTCAGGCTACAAATTACAGAGTCACGGCAATACGTCAGCACAAATATATATAATTTTGATGTACGAAAGTATTTATATAGAGAGTTCCCTGATCACTTCACTTGGATAAAGTCAAAAAAGTTTTGAAAACCCAGAGAAAAAGGTGGTCAAATTGCAAGATTGGTGTATGCCCATCTTGCTGAAGGTGAGCAATACTATCTCCGTGTGCTTCTAAACCATGTGAGGGGTGCAACTTCATTCGAGCATCTTTGAAGTCGACATGGAACTACATATGAAACATTTAGAGATGCTTGTGAGGCCTTGGGCTATGTGGAAACTGACAAGAGCCTAGATGACTGTCTCACTGAATCTGCACAATTTAAGATGCCTTGTGCTCTAAGGAGGCTATTCGCAACTATCATAGTTTTCTACGAGTGTAATAATGTCCAAGCACTATGGGACAAACATATTGATTCAATGTTTGAGGATTATCGTCGCTCAAATAGCTACTCCAAAATGGTTGACACAAATGGTGCTTAGAGATATATCTATACATGTTAAAGATATGGGTAGAGACATTACAAACTATGGATTTCCTGAACTAGATGCCTCAGGTAAATTGATTCATAAACATTGTATTTACCTTAACATCACACACAACAATTAATATTATTAAAAAATTAATGCTTCTTATTCGTCAATTTTGCAATGACCTATTACACTTTATTTGATTAGATGAAGTGTCGCGAGACCATTATAGAGAGCTTACAGAAGAATTGAATATTGGATATGAAGAAGAACATCTAAAAATGACACTATGTGTAGCTTTTTTTGTTGATGGACCAGGAGGAACTGGCAAGACATATCTGTATAAGGCTTTGCTTGCAAAGGTGTGCTCCATGAATCTTATAGCAATAGCTACAGCCACATCTGGTATTGCAGCAAGTATCATGCCCGGCGGACGCACTACCCACCCGCTTCAAGATTCCCATCAAACTAGATAATAACACTATGTGCAGCTTTACAAAGCAAAGTGGTATTGCTGAATTACTTCGTAGGGCTGCCTTGGTAATATGGGATGAAGTAGCCATGACAAAGAGACAAGCAGTAGAAACAGTCGACAGAACATTACAAGATATAATGGGTTGCAATCAACCTTTTGGTGGTAAGGTTATGTTGTTTGGAGGTGACTTCAGGCAAGTACTTCTCGTTGTGACACGAGGAACAAGAGCACAGATCACTGATGCTACTTTACTAAAGTCATATATATGGGACAATATGCGAAGGATTTGGCTTACCCAAAACATGCAAGCTAAAAACGATAGTTGGTTTGCAGATTACCTGTTAAGAATTGGGAACAGAATAGAAAAAACATTCGGTGATAATTATGTTCAATTGCCTAATGATATCATCGTGGAATGGAGGCAAGATTCCAGCAAGAATGCAAATAAAATAAGTTCAAAAGACAATCCAATTGACAACCTTATCGAAAAGGTGTTTCCCAAACTCAAGGAAAATTGCACCTCTGCAGATTATATGCACGAACGTGCGATTCTTTCTACTACAAATGAGCATGTCAATGCAATGAATGCAATAATGATCGAGAAGAGATGAGAAGGTATTCTATAGTTTCGATTCAGTGGATGATGATACAAGAAATAATTACCCTCTTGATTTTCTAAATTCTATTACACCTAATGGGTTGCCTCCTCATGAGCTTAAGGTTAAAAACGACTGCCCTGTTATCCTACTACGTAATCTTGATCCTCACAACGGTCTTTGCAACGGCACTAGGTTGGTCATTAGAGGATTCCAGAACAATTCAATTATTGCTAAAATAGTTAATGGAGATCATGCAAGAACCAGAGTATTCATACCAAGGATTCCCATGTCCCCCTCTGAAGACCTTAACATGGGTTTTGGTCAACACAAATAAGGATGTTGACCCCACTGAAAAGAGCACAAAAAATATTGTCTTTATAGATGTATTAGAGATATGATACCGGTACATTCAATACTTTTGTTTAATCTTATTTCAGTTTCAGAGATATAATACTAGAAACAAAATATTTATTGTACATACAAAATGTTGGACCATGGATTGCTAATCTCATCATTTCCCTTGGGAGTTCAAGACTCCATTGGAGCAAAGAACACTAGGAAACGTGATTTATACAAATGTACACGCGCACCCAATGATTATGTAAATACAAAACGAGTATTCCTGTCTCATATATATATATGTCCTTTCATTATAATATTACATGCAAAACATCTATGTCTCACTTAAAATTATAGCCCAAAATCAATTCTGAATTAATCTGATCGCATGTTTTCTAGAAAATGGCAAATAAAAATGACAAATGTTTTCTAGGCACGTGCATGTTAACTATCATTTAAAAATGATTAACTTGTGTTCACAACAATATTGCCCAAAAACAACAATGGTAAAAACTTTGACAACTAAAATTTAATTTCTCTTTCTATTTAAACTAGGACTACAATTGATTGAGAAAATTATAACCTCATGACTAGCACTACGTAAAATGCTCCTGTGACTTTAGATCCTGACCTTCATCAGGGCACTTGAAGTAACGAATGTCAATTGACACGGGTGTAGCTGTCATCTATTTACAGCCTGTTCGGTTGGCTGGTTCGTTTCGTTGCTGGTTCGTGAAGAAGTACTGCTAGCTGGTTTGTGTGAGAGAAAAATACTGTTCCGGTTGAAAATTTACGATCGTTTACGATAAGCCACAGCCAAACAAACAGGCTGGTAGACTTAAAATGTACGTGACTTCTTGGAATCCTGAAACTTGTCTACTTTTTTGCCTAAGCTAAACTGCTAAAGAAGGTTATGTACTTTTGTCACACTATAAGTGGCCCTGGTGTACACACCTTGAACTACAATTGTTTGGCAATATGATTTGTATAACTTCTCTTTTGTTTGGCTGGTTTGTCCAGTACTAATTAGGACTGAAAATATGTATACATTCCCAGGTGGCGATTGGTCTATTAGTCTTCCATGGGCCATGGCACAGATGGATCATCCTCCAAAATAGTATTAGGTCTGATCTGGAGAAGCCAACTTAATACAGATTGGGGCTACTTGTGTCCAGCTTTTTCATTAGTTCTTTGTGATACCTCTACCTCTGTTTTGCCAGATGCCAGTAGTCACTTGTGTAATATGCTTATTCATTCCTGAGCTATCATGCCTGACTTTTGAGCTAAATCCAATGACGTGGCTACAGTAAAGACAAGGTGCAATGCAACTTCAAGAGGGCAGTCTCAGTTGGTGGCACAGGCACCTTGCTTGCCTTGAAATAACATACTAGACAAAATTCTTTCACGTACTCAAAGTAGAATCTGCATGCAGAGCTAAGACATGCAGATGGAACCTGAAATGTCAAGCCATGCAGATTCATGTAAACTGTCTAGGAGTTTGACGAAGATGGAGATTGAGTAAAATGCTATATTACTAGTATCCGTAGATTGTTCTGAGATTCATCTTTTTTTTTTGAGACTCATCTCTTGTTAGTTGTTATACTTTTGAATCCTGATCATGTTTGCTCTGTCCTTCCCTTGATTACAAGCGTGCTGGCATGGTATACGTTTACTAGATTCATATAGGCCGCTGTGTTCAGTTTTTTTTTTTTTTTTGCCATTTTTCCTCCGTTGAACTGTGTGGATGTAAGGTTTTTCAGCACAGGTTCCCTTGTAAACGGGTGAATTCTATTCTTCTTAAGTACCCCTACCGTTCCAAATTATAAGACGTTTTGGCTTTTCTAGACACATTACTTTCATTATGCATCTAGACATAGTGTATATCTAAGTACGTAGTAAAAGTCATGAATCTAGAAAAACCAAAACGTCTTATAATTTGGAATGGATTGAGTAAATAGCAAGGAGTCCATACCCTCGTCAAAGAGGTTTCCTAAAAAAAATGTTTACTCTGAATAGGTCTTCAATTCTCATGGTTGGTTCAACAATAGTGGTTGAGATGTGCACTTATGTGCACTTATTTCAAGTGAAGCTGTTATTTTTTGGGGAAAAGCTCCATAAGCAGTTTTCTTGGTGAAGCTGAGCTGTTTTGATAAAAGTGTTTGACAAACAACTTCTGCATGGCTGAGAGGGTAATTGTCCAAAATGCCCTTGATTACATGAGTGCATTCCATGGAACATTGTAGGCTGCAGGAGCGGACCTCCTCACTCACTGTACGTGTCCAGGTGCTTCGAAAGTGATCGCTACCACCTGATTGCATTATCCACGGAACTGGCCACATGATTGTATTATCCACGGAACTGGCCACAACGCGTGGGGAGCCAATGGCAATTCGTGTTATTTTTTTTGTCAGCCACAAGGGCAGCGCGTTCCCGTCTGAGCGAGAGAGTTGGGATAAACTACTACCCATGAAGCTGTTTATAAAAGGTTATTTACTTGGCAAAAAAAAAACTCACGACAGCTTATGAAGTTGTTGGTGAAGCTGGGTCAAACAGGCCCGTATATGTAATCATAGCTCTTACATTACCAATAATACATTCCTATGAATTTGGCAGCTTATACCCATATAGAACATTTTTCAATACAGGTATTGACAGAACATGGAGAATAGCGTGCTACTACATGCTCTATGATCATCTTCCAGCTGAAACATTGGTTGTAGCAGTTCCCACAGAGGGATATGAATATGAGGCAACCAACTGATCACACACTTCATCATTAGTTGCATCAGCACTAAAGAAACTAAGCGAATAATCAAGGGGTATCTCAATGTTTTCCAGGTATTGCATCACCATGCGCATGCCTGGCCTCACCTTGGGTGATGGGTGTGAGCAAAGAAGTCCAAGCTTCAGAACCAGCTCTACCTCACGTGCTTCATAGTCTTCTAGTCCAGGATCTATGGAGTCCATGATTGAGCCATCTTGCCATGCGCTGATCACATGGTCAGCTAACACCTGAGGCTCTCCACAAGCATTCACTACAACTGGCCGTCTTCCACATGCAACCTCCATCATAAGCACACCAAATGCAAAAATATCGGTCGCCTTAGTTGCTTTGCCAAGTCTAGCTAGCTCAGGAGCAATGTAGCCAAATGTACCTGCTATGCGTGTGGTGTGAGCATCAACTCCATGGTCATGCAATCTTGCAAGGCCAAAATCACCTAGCCTTGCATTCATTTCACCATCAAGGAGGACATTGCTTGACTTAAGGTCACGGTGGATGACCACATGTTCCCATTCCTCATGGAGGTAGAGGAGTCCAGATGCAACACTTTTGATAATGCAAAATCTTTGAGACCAATTTAGTGCAAGTTTATCTTGACCGTACAAATATTTATCAAGACTTCCATTGGGCATATAATCATATACCAAGAGTAGCTCATGCTTGTGCCTACAGTAGCCAAGCAAACGAACAAGATTCCGGTGGCGAACATGACCTAATATAGTGATTTCTGATATAAATTCTTTCTTCCCTTGCTTTGACTCAGGGGAGATTCGCTTGATTGCAACATTTTGCTTAGAGGCTGGGAGGAATCCTTTGTAGACCCAGCCGAAACCTCCCTTACCAAGAAGCATCTTGTCTTTGAATCCACCAGTAGCATTAACTAGATCTTTGTATTTGAAAGAAGGTGGCCCGCAGCTTATCTCGCAATCTGATTGTTTCCTGGATTTCTTCGAATGTCTTTTCTTGTAGACATAACCAAGGCCAGCAGAAATAACAATCAAGACCAAGGAAGCCAGAGTAACTACAGGTAGGAGCATACGCAAGCGACGACTGCGAGCTCGCTGTGATCCATAGTTACGATGTGAAACTATGTCCTGTGAAATATTAAAATTGAACTCTGGTCTAGAGTAGTCGTCATTATTTCTACTTCCCCACCCTTCTATAAATGCAGAGTAGTTAAGTTGTGGAGCTTCCCCATCTTTCTTGAAGCTCCAGCCAAGAATGAAGTTTCTGTCTGCCACAGTGCTTGTCGATGCGGAAAACCCAATAAATACTTCACTTGATAACAAATAAGACAGGTTCGCATGGCTTGACAGTAATGGATACTTAGGTTTAGAGGACCCAGGAGCCCCTAAGGTGACATTTAGTTGCTGAACGTTGCCATCATACTCTACCCATAACTGTAAAGCACCATTGTCTAGTCGTCTCCACAATTTGAAGCCATCTTCTGAGGTGGTGTTGTAATATCCAGCAGTGTGGGAGTTGATTGAAGTCAAGCTGTTGACATAAATTCCAACAAGTCTCGTAACAGCATCAACCTCAATAGCCAATATATTAATCGAAGTGTTATCCCTATTTGACACGTTGGGAAGGCCTAGGTACTGACCTGGCAAGGAATCATTCAGGAACTTATTGGTAGAAGAAACCACAAAGGCAAATCCATTAGTGCCCATTCCTCGCTCGAAGCTATCACCATATAAAGATGTAATCTCAAACACGAACGATGTTGTGAAAGAGGACACACCATGATCTCTGAGGTTCCTAAGGCTTACAGGATATTTGTAGAAAGCATGGCCGACCACACCTGTGTCGAGACCAGTTGTTAGCCCCAGGCGACCACGCTCATCAACAGAAGCTTCACCTTCAAAGCTTATATTAGCAGTTGTGAATCCATTGAAAACAAATTCCTCAGCACCAGATGCAGGAAAGAAGAAAAGGAGAAGAAAGCACTGCAAGGAGAAACGGAGCATAGCTTACTACTCTTGATGACTATGTATGCCTAGCTCAACTGAAGTTGCAAAGTTCGATCAGGTTTTGTAATCCCCTCGAACGTCCAGCTGTTAGTAGTGCACGTTGCTACGAAATTCTAGTCGTCAAACATAACTATAAATGCTGAAATAGACAGAAAAGGCATCTCAAAAAGAAAGACAGAGACCCAAAACAGGGTGGAATTCAGGCGATTTAGTTCCCCTAAAGTTTAGTCTCTATTACATCGGATGTTTGAACACATGTGTGGATTATTAAATATAGACAAAAAAATAACTAATTGCACAGACTGCGACTACTTTGCGAGACGAATTTTTTAAACCTAATTAGTCCATGATTTGACAATGTGTTGCTACAGTAAACATGTGCTAACTGTAATTTATTTTATTATTACTATCCGAACACTCCCATATAATACCTCTAAACTTTACCCTCTGGATTTAAACACCACCTCAATTTTATTTGGGACAGTCCAACTTATGCAAAGACTTTGAACGACGACTTTGGGTCAACTTCAACACCTATGCTATTTTCTTCAATTTTCTTTCCTAATAAAATATATTGCATTACTTTAGCGCAGAAAAATCGTCCACCTATAACTCTAAGCAAAAATGGGGTCCTCCTACTAATTTGTGTCCAATGGTTTCACAACCGCAAACTCTAACGATGTGTCACGAACTAGGCGGGTGGCCGGCGCTCTCGTGCTCGTCAGCTGACGCTGGCTCCGGCGCCGTGGCTACGAAATTCTACTCGTCAAACATAACTATAAATGCTGAAAGAGACAGAAAAGGCATCTCAAAAAGAAAGACAGAGACCCAAAACAGGGTGGAATTCAGGCGGCCTTGTTTAGTTACTCCACTAAAGTTTAGTCCCTATTACATTGGATGTTTGGACACATGTATGGAGTATTAAATATAGACTAAAAAATAACTAATTACACAGACCGTGACTACTTTGCGAGACAAATTTTTTAAACCTAATTAGTCCATGATTTGACAATGTGGTGCTACAGTAAACATGTGCTAAGTGTAATTTATTTTATTATTACTATCTGAACACTCCCATATGACACCCCCATGACACCCCTAAACTTTACTCTCTGGATTTAAACACCACCTCAATTTGGTTTGGGACAGTCCAACTTATGCAAAGACTTTGAACGACGACTTTGGGTCAACTTCAACACCTATGCTATTTTCTTCAATTTTCTTTCCTAATAAAATATATTGCATTACTTTAGCGCAGAAAAATCGTCCACCTATAACTCTAAGCAAAAATGGGGTCCTCCTACTAATTTGTGTCCAATGGTTTCACAACCGCAAACTCTAACGATGTGTCACGAACTAGGCGGGTGGCCGGCGCTCTCGTGCTCGTCAGCTGACGCTGGCTCCGGCGCCGTGGCTACGAAATTCTACTCGTCAAACATAACTATAAATGCTGAAAGAGACAGAAAAGGCATCTCAAAAAGAAAGACAGAGACCCAAAACACGGTGGAATTCAGGCGGCCTTGTTTAGTTACTCCACTAAAGTTTAGTCCCTATTACATTGGATGTTTGGACACATGTATGAAGTATTAAATATAGATTAAAAAATAACTAATTGCACAGACCGCGACTACTTTGCGAGACAAATTTTTTAAACCTAATTAGTCCATGATTTGACAATGTGGTGCTACAGTAAACATGTGCTAAGTGTAATTTATTTTATTATTACTATCTGAACACTCCCATATGACACCTCCATGTGACACTCCTAAACTTTACCCTCTGGATTTAAATGCCACCTCAATTTGGTTTGGGACAGTCCAACTTATGCAAAGACTTTGAACGACGACTTTGGGTCAACTTCAACACCTATTCTAATTTCTTCAATTTTCTTTCCTAATAAAATATATTTCATTACTTTAGCGCAGAAAAATCGTCCACCTATAACTCTAAGCAAAAATGGGGTCCTCCTACTAATTTGTGTCCAATGGTTTCACCTACTAGAATGAACGAGTTTCCCTTGGGCCGAGAATCCTAGGGAAAGGCCGGAAAACGGTAGGGAAGTAGTTTCCCTAGAGTATTTGGTGGGAAAGACCCCTAGGGAGTGCGGCGACGGGAAAGAGAAATGTGCCCTACCGTTTATGTGGAAACCGTAGGGAAACAGTCTTTCCCTAGGAAATTGCATCCCTAGGTAAAGTACCTAAGATGGCCCTGATAAAGCTTACGTGGAAAGGTGATTACCCTACAGGAAACTTTCCCTAGGAATTTGAACTGTAGGGAAACCAGCTGACCCAAGCACAACATTCAAATTCAAATCATGAATACATAATTCATATTTGAATTCAAATATTATTACGAAATTATTTATAATCAAGATTCACACACATGAATAGGAACTTAAGAACTGATTTAATTAAAGGCCAAATCCATGGAACCGAACATTTAGAGTTATATCATCATAAGACAATTATAGGTCTGTTAATATAAAAGCCTAGTAGACATGCCTACTTAGCTTCTAAAAGATATCTCCTCCATCAGGTGCTGACCTAACTATTACTTAAACAAAATAAGCAACAACAGTTGCCTACTTAGCTTGCAAAAGTCTATCTCCTCCATCAGGTGTTAGACCTAACTATTACTTAGCTGCAGCACATAGTTCGATGACAATCAAAAGAACGGAAATGCTTCGTTCGGAGGAGAATATGTGCCTCCACCACTTGCTGTTCCATCCACTCCATTTGGAGTTCCATCTGCATGGCTATGGAATTCTCCACGAGCAATCCTACTTATAGTTTCATCTGGAGTTTCGGTTCTAACACTTGAGCCAAAGGTACCGACCTGTGATAGTAAAGCAATCAAAATTTTAGAAAAACAACTTGTGTTATAAATTGTAGGTTCAGTTTTCAAATGTATTGAACAGTAAAGAATGCATTGATGTATCCATGTGCATAAAAATTGTTTTATAGACACAGCAGTAGCTGCATTTTTTTTTCAATGCTACTGCCGTGTATCTACCTCCTCCAACTCTATCCACAGTGACATGCTCAGCTTGCTTAGTAGATGCATATGCATTTCTACATGAAGTAGGACATACAGCATAAAGATGCAAAACACAACAAACTGTGACGGCCATAGATACTAAAATTCCAGCATTCCATCAATCTAGCATAAACATCCATAGCTTTCTAAAGATTGCTGCAACTAATATATATTTGTTATGGTACTTTCACAGCTAACATATAATTGTTATGATACTGTACAAGTTAGCTCTGTGTGAGCATGATACTTGAGATATTCCAAGGCACTGTTCAACTAAAACTCAATTAATGTCAAAATACCTCATAATTTAATGCTAAAAGTTCTGCAGACTTACATTTTCAGGAGACAGATTTGGAGTAGGCGAAATAGCATATGTTGGAGGCTGAGGTGGGGGAGGCATGAGAGGAGGAACAGCTGCGAGAGGCATACCAGTTTGGAGAGCAACCGACTGCAGTTTAATAATAGAAAGCAGCTAAATTAAAAGCAACTAAATTGACACTAAAGTGAACACATAGGGTTGTATGACAGATCTCACCTCCATAAACTTTTGCATGTTTTCATTATGAGTATGTACCATTCTTGCCCAATTCGACATATTTTGGGCATATTCCTTAGCCAAACGACCATCACTTGCTTCTTTCCTCATACGGTCCTCCTCCTCTTGACGTTGATGCCTAGCAGCCATGATCGAGGCACGACCTCTTTTCAAATCAGCAAGGACTTCTCTATCATTGATGGTCCCATTAAAAGTGGCACATTTGCCATGTGGCCTACCACAAGTGCATTCATAGAGAACTCTAGGATCCACCGAAGAGTGCAACCAATCAAAATCCGGTCCATTTAACTCAATGGCCTTAGCTTTGTATTTTTCCTGTCCAATGTGTGTATATGTATATGATTGTGTGAACATTTGCAAAATAAGTAAAATGAAAATTCTACAAAATTGGAAAATCAGCATCTAGCAATTACCAAGCATGAAGTCGCTTCTTCTGTGTTTAGTGAAGTAATATCTTCATGATTTGAGCCTCTATGAGTATGTACCCATGCCTCAATATCAGATATTTCTCTTTCGAGTTTCTTGGACTACATTTGAATGTATATGAAATTAGTTGTCTATTTCCTACAAAAGAGTATCTCATAGAAAATCAGCAAGGTGAACACTAACCATCTTCTGTCGTATTGTTGCGATAGAGTTGGATCCTCCTTTGTGAGGTTTAAATTTACGACTGAGACGATTTGCACGATTTTTCTCTGACTTCTTCTTGAATTCAGGACTGCTCCATTCCGTGGCCAAAACTTCCCAGCATTCTAGTATGCACCAAGGAGGACGTTGTGCAATGTACTCGTCCCTCGTCAAATAGAATTGCCCAGCAATTTTATCACAGATTGTTCTTTTCTCTACTTTTCGAAAATGCTCTACTGTAGCTGTAATTCTTGCATAATACATGATGCTCCCTAGGAGTACAGAGCAGCAGACACCAACATGTTCTCTTGAAGCCTCTTCTTTGACTGGATCAAATCTAAACCTTTTCTGCATAGAACAAGCAAAAACATAAGAGAGCTCTAGGACCCCAACTTAATAACTGTTATGAGCTGGTTCTGTTAAAAACAGACTTTGCATGAACCTAATAGCACAAGTGCATGAACCTGTAGCAGGAAAGTAGCTGGTACCCAAGATAGAAGTAGAGAATTACCCAAAACCCTTCAGCAACTAAATCAGCTTTAGATTTTTCCAGAGTCGTCCTTGGCTGCTTGATAATGTTTCCATGAGGATGCCACCATGGTCTTGCCTTTGTACTGAACCTCAGTAAACATGTTAACACACTTGAAGGAGTCCTTCCTTCTACCACAGTCCAGTGCCTCCAAAAATAATCAAACAAATCAATTAGCGATATCAAATGAGTGTTGGGTTGCATAAATATGACAATGCAAGATTACAAACTCACGAGTTTCCTTCCGGCTCAATCAATGGACGATCTTGCTCATTGGGAATAGTGGGGGGAAGATCTGCACATCCTCGTAAATAGCCAATTCCAGTTCCAGTTTGCTGATCTTCTGCATTAGAATCAGCAGGACCATTCAGACTCGAAATCGTGACCTCCCTAGAAGCATTGGAAGATTGACTGCGTAACACTCTATGTGTGAGTGTCATCCCTGAAAATATGATGCAGCAACCATGAGTAAGTGTACTGGAAAACAATTGAAATAATGCAAGTATGAAAATGGTTGGAACAAAATAAATGTATTACTTCTCCCATCAAAAGTCATCAGGATCTTGGAATTCCACTTGTGTGGCATCAAGAAAATATTCTGTATTATACCCCTCATGTTCTTCAACTGGTGGCTCATTGTCTACTGTCACACCATTTCGTTGTTTGATCAGCATGGAAATTTCATTTGGATCATTGACCTCATCAAAGCCATCACTAATCGTGATATCATCTAAGCCAAGTCCAATGTCTATGACGAATTCACCGTCTAAACCATCTTCTTGAAAGGTATCCACACATGGTGATTATTCATTATCATACTCATCCATTGTAGGAATAGACAAGTTTGAAAGGGGGCTGACCTTGTATGCAACCCACCAGTCCTTAAGGCTTGCACTAGACTTACATGGATAAGGAAGATAATACACTTGTTTCACTTGGCTAGCAAGAACAAAAGGTTCATTCGCTGGATTACAAGAAGCATGGGCAACTTCGACTAGTCCAACCCTTTGTAATTGCCTCACTCCATTAATTGGGTGGAACCAATGACAATCAAACAAAACTAGGCTGAATTCACTACCACCATCAAACTTCAACTCAATTATGTCTTTGATAATGCCGTAGTACTGAAGCTCATTGTTGCTATCATCAAAACTAACAGCAAGCACCCCGATGTTGGTGGTAGTCAGGTTCCCTCTAGATTTTTCATACTTTTCAGATCTAAATCTGTACTCATTAACCTCATAAATATCATATGACCTAACCTTGAGGCCACAACCACGTGATAAATGACGTAGCTCACTAGGTATGCTTGCATCCATGTCACACTGAAATGTTACAATTGAAACTAACATGTAATTAATAATTTAATAGAATGTTGAAACCTGTACATAAATTAAGAAAATAGCTAGTACCAGGCTTCTAAACCAATCCAACAAGTCTGGTTTCCCATTGCCAGCACCATTCATCCTTAAATTATCTAGTTGTTTCTGATTTGGTGGTCTTGCACGTCTCCATTGCTCTTGTTCAAATTTTCTATGGATTATGCCAGGAGATTAATTATGATTAATAAGAATTAGTATTTTGTTTGTCAAAGTTGGTGTACTTACTGTACAAATTCCTCCATTTCAGTCATGTTTGTGAAGATATAAATCATTGCTATCTTGTACTCTTCAAAAGTTAGAAACCTTGTCACTCCTCTACCGCTCTTCCATCCACGCACTTGAAACAAGCTAAGGGTACAATCTGATGGAGGACCACTTTGAGCATAACGTTGTGGACGATTTCGGGAGCTCGGTATGAGTTGAGGTAAGTACAATGATGTAAAGTAAGAGATCTCCTCAACTAGGCAGCCTTCCACTATTGAGGCTTCAACATGAGCCTTGTTACAGACTTTTGCCCTAACTTTTTTTAGTAACCTACAAAAGATTAAATTAGTTGTTTTCCTATGACAAGGCAGAAAGATAAATAATAGGTGTTTTAAGTTTATACCTCTCAACTCCATAGATCCATGTATACTTTACTGGGCCTCCTACCCTAACTTGATATGGAAGGTGCATCAGAAGATGCTCCATTGAATTGAAGAAACCTGGTGGAAAGATTTTTTCCAATTTGCAAATAATAACAGGTATGCTTGCTTCCAGTTGACATATCTGGGCACGGTCAACCTCCTTTGCACAAAGGACTCTAAAAAAGTAACTTAGCTCAGCTAATGTTTCCCATATGTCATCCTTGACAAAACCTCGCATCATCACAGGTAGTAGACGCTCAATGAATATATGGAAGTCATGACTCTTCATGCCGTTTATCCGTAGTGTATCCATGTTTACCCCTCTCCTTAAGTTTGCTGCATAGCCATCAGGGAATTTGATGTCCATAAACCACTGCATTACATCCTTTTTTGGTCTCTTTTCAGGGAAAATGGTGCTCTAGGTCTATCCCATTTATCATTTGGCTTCTCAACTAGATTGAGATGTCTTCTGTTGCACATCAAGGCTTGGTCAAGACGAGCCTTATTATTATCCTTGGTTTTATCACCAATGTCAAGACATGTGTAGAAAATAGCTTCTGCTACATTTTTTCTGTATGCATAACATCAATGTTATGTGGACGCAGAAGTTCAGGGAAATATGGCAACTCCCACAGGAATGGGATGTGAGTCCAATTGTGAGTAGTGCCATAACCATCAAAAGATTTGTCTTTCACTTCATTCATGTATTCTCGCACCTCTACCCCAGTTAATCGACGTGGAGGTATGTCATGAACCGCTACACCCTTTCTAAATGCATTCTTCTGGTCCCTAAATTCATGGTTAGCTGATAGAAATCTTCTATGGCAATCAAACCAACTATACTTGCGCCCATTTGGTAGCCAAGTGCTATCCACATCTGCCATGCAATCGATACATGCCAACCCACCATGTGTAGACCATCCAGAGAACATGCCCAACCTAGGATAGTCATGAATGGAATTATGATATGAAACCTTCATTGTAAATTTTCTCTTCGAAAAACTATCATAGGTTTCTACTCCTGCCCAAGCTTTCTTCATCTCATCTACTAGTGGTCGCATGAACACATTCAAATTTTTACCGAGATGCTCTGGTCCAGGAATCACTAGACTAAGAAATATGTTTTCCTCCTTCATGCAAAGAGCTGGTGGCAAGTTCAAAGGAATCACGAAAACTGGCCAACAAGAATATTTAGATTTTCCAAATCAAAATGGATTGAAGCCATCTGTTGCCATAGCAATATGAACATTCCTAGCCTCCGCTGCAAACTCTGGGCAGACTGTATTGAAATGTGTCCAAGCCTCAGCATCAGATGGGTGGACCATAACATTTGGGTTGTCACACCTACCCTCCTTATGCTACCGCATGTGCTTTGCGGTTTTGGGCTCCATGTACAGTCGCTGCAACCTTGGTATGAATGGAAGATAACGTAGAACCTTACGTGGTATTGGCTTTCGCTTACGCCCTGTTGATGGCTCAACAACTACATATCGGCTTTCCCCACAGAAATCACATTTTCCCTTATTTATATCTTCTCCATAGTATATCATACAATTGTTTTCACAAGCATCTATCTTAACATATGGCATTTTCAGACCTTTGAGAAGAGTTGTGCACTCATAAAATGTTTTTGGCATTTTATGGTTCTCGGGCAGGACATCATCAAATAGATTCAATATTTTATTAATGCATTCTACACCAAGGTTATGTTGTGATTTAACTACCATTAACCGAGCAACTGCGGTTAGCTGTGCAACACTAGTGTAGTTATGTACGGGCTCCTGTGAAGCTTCCAACATGGCATAAAATGCCTTTGCATCAGATGGGGGTTCATCTTCAGCACTAACAGTATGCATTGCATCGCCAATATTAGCTAACATTTCATCTAAACCATCAGCAGTATCATTGGCATTCTCCAATGTGGGCTCACTAAAAGGTTTCTCTCCATGTTCAGTCCAAATAGTATACCCAGGTGTAAAACCTCTTTTACACAAATGCAAGCTCATGATAGGTCTCCTTCATCTAACTCTATTGTCACAATCTGAACATGGGCAAAGTACTCCAAATTTTTGAGAATCAAGAACAAGACTAAAAGCATGGTCTAGAAAAGCATGTCTTCTGCACCCACTCCTATGAATGACAACCATTGTCATTCCACCCTTCGTACATCCAACTACGGTCTTCTATTGACATGGCTAGTTATTGTAGCAATAATAAACCCCTGTTCAATATCTAAAACCCTGAGCAAACCCATAGATAACAATTTGTGCTACTAAAAAATTAATAATTTAGTACAAATATATGGAAGAGATGTGAAAAGATAAATCTGCTTCTCACCTTCAAGCTTCTCTTGCACAGCAGCACAGATGTAGATCCCTGCCTTCTTTATCGCATTTGAGTCTTCCTTACAAAGCCAAGATCTTCTCCTCCTACTTCAAACTGAAGTTTGCATAATGGAAAGGCAAAGTATATTAGTTCCAGATCTGAATGACTAATACTCAGAGCGGATAATGGTCTAAATTAGCATGTAGAGCCTATGAGCAGACAACTAGTAGTGCAGTAATATTTTGTATCACAAACAAGAAATCAAGCACACAGTTATTGAATATGAATAAATGTGAAATGGTATATTTCTCTAGTCCATCAAGTGGAATTATTAGTTTGCACCATAACTTACATATTTCCTAGTTAAAATTCAGTAGCTTATAACTCACTAGCCAGTCTACCTGAATTTCTATTTTTTGGAAATGACCAAAGATTAGTTCAAGATCAAACAAATTTAGCAATTACAATAGTCTCTGCACCACTCAAGTCAATTAAACAGTTACTGATTGTTTTAAGGAAGTATAAGAAATGCAAAACACAACATAAAGGCTGCAGGTGCATCACACTGACCAATATATACATCTTAATTGTTGGTTAAATCCATGTAGTAGATTCATATCTCACTTTGAGCCATTATTCAGTAGCACGAAAGAAATAGGAAGCACATCTCCTTGTCAGTAACACAGCAACACACAGCAGGGGTATTGCCAATTCCTACCTTCTTGCCAACACAACGACAGGCCATTGGCACCTCCGCAGGACAACGGCAGGCCACCAGCACCTCCGCAGGGCAACGGCAGGCCACCAGCACCTCCGCAGGGCAACGGCAGGCCACCAGCACCTCTGTAGGTTCTCCTTGCCTCCACTGCAGGTCCTTCTTTCATCCAAATCAGCACCTCCCTCGCCTCCTGCAGCACCCTAGAAGGTTCTCCTCGCCTCCTCCGCAGGTCCTTCTTGCCACCTCGGTAGCCCGCTTGGGTCACGAAATTGGGATGGGGGCAAAGGAATAGCTAGGGGTGGGTGGTGCTAGGCTTGGGGTGCTTGTAGATCCAGCGAGGGCAGTGGATTTGGGAGGCACCCCATTGGATGGGTTGGGGCAGCGGTAGGAAGCTTTGGTGGTGGCGCACTAGATTGGGGCGGCGGGAGAGCTTTGGGGCAGCAATGGGAGAAGATTTGGTGCGCGAGAGAGAAGATTGGTGGCGGTGGTGGTGGCGGTGGCGGCGGCGGCGGGAGAAGGGCAGCGTCTGGAGAAAGATTGGTGCGAGACGGTGGCGGTATGCTGCGGGGAGGGGAAAAATTTTGGTGCCGTCATGTTAGCACCATGTTGGGTCAATGTCCCTAGGAATTGTGTCCATGTCATAGGGAAAGGTGCCAGCATGGTAAGGGAGACGCCTCTTCTTCAGAATCAGCCCTGACCAAAACGTGCAATCCTAGGGAAAGCCAAGTTTCCCTACGGTTTTGTCACCCAACTCTAGGGAAACATATCTTTCCCTAGGACGATCAAAACACCGTAGGGAACTTTAAAAACTGTAGGGAAACTCGTCGATTCTAGTAGTAACCGCAAACTCTAACGATGTGTCAGGAACTAGGTGGGTGGCCGGCGCTCTCGTGCTCGTCAGCTGACGCTGGCTCCGGCGCCGTGGGTAGTCTGCAGGCGAGTTTGGAGGTGTCGGGCAACAGGTCACAACAGCAAACTCTAACTGACGATAGGTTGCGCTCCGGCACGACTATGCGACCCACGTCCACACGTCCCCTCTCTCCCTCTTTTCTTCTCCATCTTCACGGGCTTAGAGAGTGGTTGGGGGAGGCAGAGACAGGCTGGGCGGTGGGGATGGATGAGACAGAGGCAGCGGTGATGCCGCCGGAGCGGGCGGCGAGGAGGCAGCCGGGCAGGGGGCTGTGGCGAGGAGAGGGGAAGGAGGTTGCCGCGAGCGCGATATCAGGTCCCGACGGAGGCGAGAGCCTACCGCGCCACGGCGAGGCAATGGGCGGCGGCTGGCACGTGGCGTGGCGCCCTATTGGGAAATGCAGCGACAGGTGGCGCACATTATCGGTGTCCTTTCACAACCGTTGAGGTCCCAATCACCCACCTGCCTTGTTTGATACTCCCTCCGTTCACAAAAGAATGCAATTATCACATTTCGAGGAGTCAAACGGTCTAAATTTTGACTAAAATTATATGAAAAAGTACTAACACTCATAAGACAAAATAAGTACAATTAGATTTGTTATAGAATAATAAATTTATTGGAAACATAAATACAAGTACTATTTACTATATATTTGGTCAAACTTGAGCTACTTTAACCGACACAATTTCCATAGTTACATTCTTTTACGGACGGAGGCAGTACCTCAACAACTGGCATATGGACTCTACCATGCGCCTGGGCTTGGACTGCCGACAATTTTGTTTGGAAATGGTCACACTGCCCAATGAATTATTTGTTAGAATGTTTGTGGGCTTGGGCCCAAATAAGAAATGTTATAATTCCTAGAGAAATCTCAAAGGCTAATTCACGTGAGCAAGATAGGAAAAGTGGACTTTAACCCCACCTTGCTTGGGAAGTGGAGGTAGCCATGCTTAAATATGGAAGTTCTCTCTCCACCTCCTCAAGTCTAATGTGAGGAGGAGAAAGGAAGCCCACACACGCTCGTCTCGCTGGACGAAGGGCGCCGGTGCCTGCGTGAATGGTCCGCCGAAATTCGGGCGCGGTCTCTTTTTGCATTTTTCAGTTTTTGTTTCTAGCCTTCGAGTTTACAGATAGGAGCCTAAACGGTTTAGATAGTGATCGCGACACGAGATCAGATTGGACATGCCTATATTAGCAGCCTATAGGCCACGCCAAAACGCATATAATTGAACTAGGGTTTTTGCTTCTTCTCGCTGTTGCGCTACCGTCGTAGTCTCTCCATCCTAACCGCCTGCGTGCACCAACGATCGGGAGAGCAGATCTTCGGAACCCTCATCCTTGTGATCCAGCATCGGGAGAGGACAAATAAGGCTTTTGGGAAGCGCTCTTCACCCGAGTGCTTCCAACTTCCATGACGGCTCGTCTTCAGGCTGCATCAGGATGTCGTCTTCACCACCAGCAGGCTCATCGCATCTTCAACGGGAACGTTCCTCCACTACTCATGACAACTTCGTACCACCATCTACAACAATGTCTCCACCACCTACGACTTTATCTCGCTCTGCGTATCATCTAGTATTTAATTAATTAGCTAGGCTACTTTGAGATTCGTGCAATCTTTTTGGCAGCGAAATTAAGGTTCCCATTGAAACAAAATCTGAATGTTCTAACTGTAATTATGTAGTAAGCAAGTGACCAGAATGTAAAAGGCTGTCGAGATAATAAGAAAGTAACAGGAGAAGGGTCCGGGAAGAGGTAGCTCAAGAAATTTCCCAACTAGTTGGAAACCACTCCCGTCTTTCTCCCTCTTTCTCAAACTCTCTCCCAGCTACAGTGAGAGAGGGGCGAAAAGGGGGCGTTTCGTGCTCCCGCCGGCAAGGTCACCGCTCCCCTCCTCCTTCGGCGACCTTTGGGCCCTCGGATGTGTGGGGGAATGGTGGATCTTCGACCGGCGGTGTAGATTAGGTACCCGCTATAGGGGTAGGTCTTGCGACGGCGGTCGCGAGGTGGTGACGGCGTCGCCATGGTGGAATAAGGTACTCCTGTCCCTCTCCCACCCCGTCGTCACTTGCTTCAGGGCCGGCGGTGGGCCTGTGAGGTCAGGGCTCTCCGGATTCGAAGACCGAGTTGGAGCTCCAGATCCCGTTGGCTCCTGTTCAGGAGTCTTACCGGCGGTGGCTCGTCGTCTCGGTAGAGCATCGGGGTCACTGGCCATTTGCTTCGTGGATGCAATGGCTGTTGTGGGTTTGCTAGGAGATAGGTGGCTGGATCGGGCTCGTGCTTCCTGCAGCGGCAGTTGTCGTCGTCGTCGAGCTCCGGTCCATGATCTAGGGAGCTCGGGGTGTGTCCCCGACCGACGGGCGTTCAGCGACGGTTTCATCTCGCCCTTCGGGACGAGTGTCTTCTGCGGCTTCCTTCAAAGCCTTTGTGCGATGGAGCTTCCTCGGATCTAGACGTGGGCAGCGACGCCCGGAGCCGGCGATCCCCGGCGATGGGGTTTTCTCAAGGCTTGGTTGGGAAAGGGTCCAGGGACCTATTTGTAATTTCTATTTTTCTTGAGGCCCTTTCTGCAAAGTTGGGTGGGACAGCTGTCCTCTGTATCCATACACGGCGTGCTTGTACTTGTACGGGTCTGTGTACTTTTGCTTAACTTTAATACAGGTATGTTCCGTCGAAAAAAAAAGAAATTTCCCAACTAGTAATAAATAGGGATGAAAACGAATCGGATACGGACGGATATCACCGATATTACATTTGTTTTTATATTTCTGTCCGGATTCGGATTCGAATACGGATAGTGTCAACTATGTCGGATAGGATACGATTGGATATCGACATCATAAATATGCGATTTGAGTATTCGGATACGGATACGGTATCAGATGTTGGATATCCAGACTCGAATACGGACAGATCTCAACCCCTCTAAACGGATTCGATTTCGAATACGGTCAGAAAATATCCGTACCATTTTCATCCCTGGTAATAAATGTAAAAGGTACTGAAGACACAAGAGAGGAACAGAAACAGGGCCATATTTGAGATTGTAACTTTTTTCAATCCGATGAATAGTACCACTTTCGTCTTATTTGACAAATATTGTTCAATCGTGGACCAACTAGGCTCAAAAGATTCATCTCGTGATTTCCAACTAAACTGTGTAATTAGTTATTTTTTTACCTATATTTAATACTTCATGCAAACAGCTAAAAATTGATGTGATGGAGAGAGAGTGAAAAAACTTAGAATTTGGAGGGTATCTAAACAAGGCCCAGAACACGGGAAGTGCTGTCCAGAAATTCCCCAACTTCAAGGCTTATATCTTCTCTAACCTCGACTCCAAAATTACTCCAAATCCAGAGATTCTCCAGAAGGATTCGTTCTTGGTTGATTGATTGGGTGGTGCCGTCACCGGCCGTCCGTGCCGTGGGGCGCGTTGCCTCCGAAGGACTTGCTTGCTGGCGCCCTTACTTCTTGCCGCCGCCGCGATTAAGGAGCTGACCGCCGTGATTAAGGTTCTCCCTTCGAGATAAGCTCTGAATATTCTGATTCTGATTTCACACCATTGTTGGCTTGTTGCTGCCAGAGAGGGAGGTTGAGATGGAGGGCATGGTGGTGAGCGCTTCCACTGGCGTGTTGAGCTCTCTCCTCTCCAAGCTGTCAGAGCTGCTCACTGATCAGTACAAGCAACGCAAGGGGGTCCGAAGGGATATTGAGTTCCTCTGTCGTGAGTTGACTGATATGAATTCAGTACTGGAGAAGCTGGCGGGCATGGAGAAGCTTGATGGCCAAACAAATGTGGAGAGACAAAGTTCGCGAGATGGCCTACGATATTGAGGACTGCATCGACGTCTTCATGCACAATCTTGTCCAAGGAGATGACAAGGATGGTTTGTTTCACAAGATTGTAGGCAAGGTTAGGGAGCTGCGACTGCACTATCAGCTTGCAAACATGATTCAAGACATCAGAGTTCGTGTTGAGGAGCAGAGTAAAATATGAGATAGATACATGATTGATGAATGTATCTCAACATCTAGAGTGGTGGTGGAAGTCGACCCAAGGCTGCCTGCATTGTTTGAGGATGCAAAAAGGCTTGTGGGCATTGATGGTCCACGGGACGAAATCACCAAGATGTTGATGGGAAAAGATGACCACCATTCTGAACAGCTTAAAGTGGTGTCCATCGTCGGTTTTGGTGGCCTTGGCAAGACAACACTTGCAAACCAAGTTTACACTAAAATAAAAAATGGGTTCGAATGCGCAGCGTTCATGTCGGTCTCTAGAACTGCTCACATGCCAAAGATTCTCAAGGACATACTGTTGGGAGTTGAATTTGATGTCAAGGAAACAGATGATGATGTCCAAAAGCTTATCAAGATCCTTAGAGCACAACTCACAAATAAGAGGTATATGTTTATCTAGGATTTATGACAATATTTTTGTTTGTGGAAATTTTATGTTTTCTGTTTCTAATCGGTGTTGTCAAATATCTACATTTTATCTATTGTCTAATAGCGATGTGTGAACTTACCAAGTAAGTTTCTAAAGCTTGTCAATAGCTATCTTGTACGTTGAGCAACTCGTTTTTATTTAATTTCAAATTACCAAGCACGATTTTTGTTGCGAAGAAAATTAAAAGTCAACTAATAACATCACAACAGTAATTTCAAGAGTTCTTATTTTATCATTATACATTCACACAGATCATATCTTCCTTTTTACCTATTTAATCGATTTATGGAATTTTTGTTTTCTAGATTTTGTGGGAGTGTTTTTCTTAGATAAGTTCCCCCTCAAGGTTAATGGCTGTACTAATGGCCGAAGCTTCAACTCTGACATCCATATTGGATCTCAAGCAGTTTACAGACTAAATTGAAGTGGCTTAAATATTTATGTTTTATGTACACTATAAATGGAGTGATTCATATAAATTATCTTGACGTGCCACCAACTCCAGATTCAAGATTCCTGGAGCTACAATACTCGGTTCCAGTAAATCCACAGACTTTCTGAAGCTAAAGCTCTGCCAAGCAAGGCCTAGGTTGAATAATATTAATTGGTGGACTGGGTTGCATGTGCATCCATTGCAGTAGTAATGGTATATTTTTCACTTTCAGAATTTGCGATGGGTTTTTAATTTTCAAATAAATTGCACTATGCACAAAATATATACATTTTTTTGAGGTTACCCGTTACCTGGAATTAAGCATAAATCGCCCTCAAAACATCACGGCACAAATGTTTATTCCTTTGCTTCTTTCGACAAGACCTAAGTAATGTACATACTTTTAGTTACTCAAGATTGTTTGACTTAGGGTGATTCTAGGAGTTGATTTATTTTGCGACAGAGGTAGTATATCATTTTCCATGTATCAAGTGGAAACACAGTGTAGGAACATATGTGTAGACGGCATTGACTTAGAAATTACTTATTGCAGGTACTTTGTCATAATTGATGACTTTTGGAGCATCAAGGATTGGCACACTATTGAGTGCGCTCTTGTCGAAAATAATAATGCCAGCAGAGTGATAACTACCACACGTATTCAAGACATTGGTATAGCATGTTGCTTTCCGAGTCAAGGTTATGTATACCATATGCAACCCCTTAATGAGCTTCACTCAAGAAGGTTATTTTTCAAAAGGTTATTTGACACAGAAGATAGGTGTCCTGAGCAATTCAGAGAGATTTCCAATGACATGTTAAGGAAATGTAAAGGGGTACCATTGGCAATTACAAGCATTGCCAGTCTTTTGGCTAACCACATGCAAGTCGAGACATGGGAGAAGATATATTGTTCATTAGGTTCCCAATTGGACTCCAATCCTACACTGGAATGGATGAGGCATGTCTTAAGTCTTTGCTTCAATGACCTGACCCTTGAGCTCAAGACATGCCTGCTATATCTTGGTACGTATCCTGAAGACTATAAGATCAACAAGTTTGATTTGGTGAAAAAATGGATGGCTGAAGGATTAGTTAGGGAAAAACATGGTTTAGATCTGGAGGAAGCTGCTGAGAACTGTTTCAATGAACTCATCAATAGAAGTATGATCCAACCTTGCTTTGATGAAGATGGTTTTGGTGAGGTGTTGACATGTCAAGTTCATGACCTAATGCTTGAGCTTATTATATTGAAGTGCAAAGAGGAAAACTTCATCACTATAATCGATAGGAAGTTCCCCATGAATGGAGCATCGCAAGTTCGCCGGATCAGCCATCAGTTCCATAACAGAGACATGGCCCTAACAGTCGAGAGTATGAGTGCATCACAAGTTCGGTCATATATTTCCTTCTGTGTGCCTGATTGTATGCCTCCACTTTCAAAATTGGAGCTTTTGAGAATCTTGGACATGAAACATAGATTTTGTGTGGAGCCTATGTGCCTTGATTTATCTTCTATAAATCACCTATTTCTGCTGAGGTATCTGAGGGTCTGGGACTTTCATGCTGAGCCACCAAAGAAATTTGGCAAACTAAAGCATTTGATGACCCTAGATATGTCCGAACCATTCTTGTATGGTCCAAGAGAACAACTATCAGATTTTAGTTCCTTGTCATCTATAAGGCATCTCAGTTTACCAGGACGTGTAGCGTTCAAAAATGGGCTTAGCAAGTTGTGCAACCTACGTGATCTGTCATGTTTTCACATTGGGACTAATTCCATAGAGTGCATCAAAGATCTTGGTGAGTTGACCAATCTTAGTAATCTTCAGGTGATATATGATTACTCTAGGCCAGGTGACGTACAAAATAATCCTGAGACAACAATCCTGGCTGCCTCTCCTAACAAGCTTGGGAACAACAACCTCCGCCATCTGATTTTTGAGGTTCCGCTAGGTGGCAAGGCCCCCTCAGCACAATTCTGGAGTAACTGCTTGGCACGTCCACGGCATCTACAGAGGCTTGGCTTGTATGGCGTAACATTGCCCAAGCTACCAAATTGGATTGCGCATGCTGACAGGTTGGTGCATGCTGTACTGGGCGTCCAGGAGCTCCGAAGTGATGACGTCCAGGTTCTTGCACAGTTGCCCTGCCTCATCTACCTCCGGTTAAAAGCTGAAACAATCCCAGAGAAGAACATCATTATCCATCCAAGCACATTCCACAGCCTCAAGAGCTTCAAATTCTTTTGTGGTGAGCTGCCATGCTTGACTTGCGATCCAGACGCAATGCCGAGGCTACAGAGACTGGAGATGGAACTAGATGCTCGCGGACAAGGTGCAATGCAACTGCAAGAGGGCAGTCCAGTTGGTGGCATCAAGCACCTTGCTAGCCTTGAAGAGATCTCTCGTTGTTTATATATGCCAAATGCGATCAAAGTTCCAAAATAAAATCTGAATGCAGAGACACCATCAGTAGGCACCTGAAAAGTCGAGCCATACAGATTTGTATAGAATGTTATGAGTTTGACGAACATAGAAATGAGGTCTCAAGACAGAGAAATACTGCACCAAGCATTCAGGAAGACTAAAGTGCTGGGTTACTGGTATGCTTATGTTGTCCTTATTAGTTTGTTTTGAGCTTCGTCTCTTCATTTATCTTTAACCATGATCATGTTTGCTCTGTTTCTTTCTTTGATTAGGATTTGCTAGACCTTGCCTAGCGTACATGCATCATGTATGTTCGCTAGATTTGCATTGCTACTTTGGATGCCCTGTTCATGCCTTCACTTCTTACGACTGCTTCAGACATAGTGGCATAACAAGTAGGGATGGACAACCACACACCGGTCAAGGGCAATGGGGCTCTTTTCATAATATCTTACTTATCATTTCAAATTGATTAATACATCCTGCATACCATCTGTTCACAACAATATTGCCCAAAAACCATGTTACAAATTTTTGCTATCAAATTTTGGCCTGGTGCAAGCGGTAGAGTCTTACCGCCTGTGACCGGAAGGTCCTGGGTTCGAGTCGCGGTCTCCTCGCATTGCACACGCGAGGGTAAGGCTTGCCACTGACACCCTTCCCCAGACCCCGCACAGAGCGGGAGCTCTCTGCACTGGGTACGCTCTTGTTTATTTAAACTAGGTCTACAATTGATTGAGAAAATTATAACTCGTACGTGGTACCTCTAAGTGACCTGTTTTACTTTTACCAAATACATAGCTTAAAAATTTTTGAGAGCAAATATGGTTTTTTCCTCTGATCAAAGAAGTACCAATTATGACATAGGAACTGCAGATTTCTTAACCTTATGACTAGCGCTATGTAAAATGCTCCTATGACTTTAGGATCATGACCTTCATCAGGGCACGTGAACTAAGGAATGTGATATTGACACGGTGTAGCTGTCATCTATAGACTCTGAAAATGTATGCGAGTTCCCTGGAACCCTGAAACTTGGCTATGTTTTTGCTGAAGCTAAACTGCTAAAGAAGGTTATGTGCTTTTGTCACACTTTAAGTGGTCCTGGTGTAGTGGTGTACAAACCTTGAACTACCGATTGTTTGGCTGCTTAATTTGTCTTTTTTTCTTTTTGCTGGTTTGTCCAGTACTAAATAGGACTGCAAAATATATGTCTACTTTCCCAGGTGGTGCTTGGTCTATTAGCCATTCATGGCACAGATGGATCATCCTGCAAAATAATATAAGGTCTGATCTGCAGAAGCCAACTTTAAACAGATTGAGATCATTTGTGTCCAGCTTTTTCATTATTTCTTCGCTTCTTTGTGATTCAACTACCTCTGTTTTACTAGATGACTATATTAATCACTTGTGAATATGCTTATTCATTTCTGAGCTGTCATGCTGGAATTTTGAGCCAGCTGAATATACAGAAACCTTGCATTATCAATTGTTCAGCAATACAATCATTATAACTTTCACAAAATGTATGGCTGGTTTGTCCGGTACTAACTAGGACTAAATATATGTTGCAGATCGCCTACTCCTAGGTGTCGTGCATGGGTTGACAAGCGTCAACGAGAAACACCCTTTATAAAAAAAAAGCTTCCTTCAGTAAAAAATATCTCATTTCCATGTTATCCAGAGCCCCCAAATAATCGTTAACAAAAAGGAAGGCTCAAACTTTAGCCGACTGAGCACCGTCGGAACTAGTCACCATTGAATTTTTATTAAGGCATTGTAATTCACGGGGAATCCTAGAAGACAAAGCAAGAGAGACGAATTTATGGTGCATTCTGTTTGTCCTTTGGCCAATCTCCATGATGGTCCTTTCAACTTGGGTGTGGATCCCAATAACAAAAATGAATTGCGCAGATTTCTGCATCATAAGAACCTCCACCACCCAGTTACATGGAAATTCCACTAAACCATTGCACTCAAATGCATAGCAAAAACCACCTCACACCATTGCCCCTGCTAGAGGGGGACTAGCTAGGAGGTTGAGATGGCAAGCTTGGTGGTGAGTGCTTCCACTGGGGTGCTGAGCTCACTCCTCTCCAAGCTATCAGTGCTGCTTAGTGATCAGTACATGCAACGCAAGGGGGTCCGAAGAGATATCGAGCTCCTCAGCTGTGAGTTGACTAACATGAATGCTGCACTGGAGAAGCTAGCAGACATGGAGAATCTTGATGGCCAAACAAAGGTGTGGAGAGACAAGGTTCGTGAGATGGGCTATGATATCGAGGATTGCATTGACATTTTCATGCACCAGCTTGGCCAAGGAGATGTTTCACAAGATTGCGCGCAAGATTAGAGAATTGCAACTGCACTATCAGCTTGCAAACATGATTCATGACATCAAAGCTCGTGTTGAGGAGCAGAGTAAAATACGAGATAGATATAGGATTGATGAATCTATCTCAACATCTAGCAGCCTGTTCGCTTGGTCGTAAACGATCGTAAATTTCCAGCCAGAACAGTATTTTTCTCTCACACCAAACCAGCCAGCAGTAAATAATTCCACGATCCTTTACGGCCTCCCGAACAGGCTGTAGAGTGGTGGTGGAAGTTGACCCAAGGCTGCCTGCATTGTTCGAGGATGCAGAAAGGCTTGTGGGCATTGATGGTCCGCGGGAGGAAATCACCAAATTGTTGATTGAAGAAGGTGGCAAATTTTCTGGACAACTTAAAGTGGTGTCCATCGTGGGTTTTGGTGGCCTCGGCAAGACAACATTTGCGAACCAAGTACACGCTAAAAATAAAAAATGAGTTTGAATGTTCGCCGTTTGTGTCCGTCTCTAGAACTCCCTACATGCCAAAGATTTTAAAGGATATACTGTCCGGAGTTGGATCTGATGGTAAGGAAGTGGAAGATGGCGTCCAAAAGCTTGTCAAAATCCTTAGAGCACAACTCACAAATAAGAGGTATATGTTTACCTAGGATTTAAGATAATGTATTTATTAGTCAAAGTTTCTAATTCTCCATTTCTAGTCGCTGTTCACAAATATCTACAGTTTATTGTCTAATAGCAATATGTGAACATACCAAGTTTTTCTAAATTAAGCTTATAGATAGCTTTCTTGTTTTTAGCTTTATTTTGTCATTTTGTACAGACTTATATCTTTATAAAAATGAGCAAGTCGTTTTGATTAAAATTTTCAAGCATGATTTGTTACCAACAAAAGGTCATATAATATATAACATCACAAAATTAAATTTTAAGAGTTCTAATTTCAACATAGATCTTTTTTTTATTTATCTGATTTATGGATTTTTTCTGGTTTTCCTGGGACTTTTTTTCTTAGATAAGTTCCCCCTCAAGCTTAATGTTGTATATAAAGTTTTTATTTAACAATGTTGTACTAAAGATGAAAAAAATTATTAACTGGTGTCTATACTCTGTAGTTGTAGCGGTGTATTTTGCACATTCAAAAATTAGGATGAGTTTTAGTTTTCAAATAAATTTTACTATGCACTAAAGATGTAATACGTTACTTTGAGGTTTCCCATTACCTGGAATTAAACATGAACCATAATCAAAACATCATGGGGCAAATGTTTATTCCTCTGCTTCTTTCCACGAGACCTAAGTCGTGGCATGTTACTCATATTTTCATTGACCTATTATCATTGTATCTAAAACTTTATCACTTTGCATGTATCATGTGGAAACGCTGCTCAGGAACAGATGTCATGCAGCAGAGACTTTGACTTAGAAATTACTTATTGCAGCTACCTTATCATAATTGATGACTTATGGAGCACCAGAGATTGGCGCACTATTGAGTGTGCTTTTGTGGTGAATAATAATGGCTGTAGAGTGATAACTACCACACGCATTCAAGATGTTGCTACAGCTTGTTGCTATCCAAGTCGAGGCCAAGTATTCCAGATGCAACCCCTTAATGAGCTTCAGTCAAGTAGGCTGTTTTTCAAAAGGTTATTTGGCACACAGGATGGTTGTCCCCAACAATTTAGAAAGATTTCAAATGACATGTTAAGAAAACGCAAAGGTGTACCATTGGCAATTACTAGCATCGCAAGCCTTTTGGCTAACCAAAGCATGCATGTCGAGTTATGGGAGAAGATACATAATTCAATGGGTTCCGAGTTGGACACAAATCCTACACTGGAATGGATGAGGCATGTGCTAACTCTTAGCTACAATGACCTGTCCCATGAGCTCAAGACATGCTTGCTATATCTTGGTGCATATCCTGAAGACTGTAATTTGGACTAATGTTTAGATCTGGAGGAAGCTGCTGAAAATTGTTTGAATGAACTCATCAACAGAAGTATGATCGAACCATGCTTCAATGCTCATGGTGAGGTGCAGGCATGTCAAGTTCATGACCTAATGCTTGATCTTATTATATCCAAGTGCAAAAAGGAAAACTTCATTACTATAATTGATAGGAACTTCACCATGATTGGAGCACTGGAAGTTCGTCGGATCAGCCATCAGTTCCGTAACAGAGACATAGCCCTGGTATTTGAGAGGATGAATCAATCACAAGTTCGGTCGTATAACTTCTTCCCTGCAGCTGACTGCATGCCTCCGCTTTCAAAGTTTGAGCTCTTGAGAGTTTTGGACATGGACCAGCTGGACTCATATAGATATGTGCGACCAGAATCTACGTGCCTTGATTTATCTTCTATAAATCACCTTTTTCTGCTGAGGTATCTTAGAGTCGCGGGCTTTCGTTTGGTGCAGCCAAAGAAGTTTGGGAAACTGAAACATTTGATGACTGTAGATATTGAATCCACAATATTGTGCCCCATGGACCAATTCTCAGATTTTACTTCCTTGTCATCTTTAAGGCATCTCACTCTTCCAAGACGAGTTGGAAATGTAGTGCGGATAAATGGGCTTAGCGAGCTGTGCAACCTATGCACACTGATCCATTTTTGCATCAGGACTAGTAATTCCGTAGAGTGCATCAGAGATCTTGGTGATCTGACCAGTCTTAGGGAGCTTATTATGATTTATTACTCTTGGCCAGGTGACGTAGAAGATGATCCTGACACAATACTGACTGCCTCTCTTGACAAGCTTGGGAACAGCAACCTCCGTCTTCTGTATTTTCATAAGTATCAGTTTTATGGCAGGCCCCTCTCAACACAGTTCTGGAGTAATTTCATCACACGTCCAAAGCATCTGCAGAGGCTTCGTTTGGACGGACATATAATACCCAAGGTCCCAAATTGTATTGTGCATGCTGACAGGTTGGCCTATTTGGAAGAACTACGAGTCCAGGAGCTCGGGCGTGATGGCATCCAGGTTCTTGGACAGTTGCCCTGCCTCATGTACCTCGAGTTAAGAGCTAAAACAATCCCAGAGAAAAAACATCATTATCCACCCAAACACAGTCCCTAGCCTGAAGCATTTCGATTTCTCTTGTGAGCTATCGTTCCTCACTTTTGAGCCATCCGCGATGCCATGGCTACAGATACTGAACATAGATCTTGATGGTCGTGAAGAAGGTACAATGCAACTGCCAGAGGGAAGTCCAGTTGGTGGCATCGAGAACCTTGCTAGCCTTGAAAAGATCTACTTGTTGATACGAGCCAAATGTGTTCGCAGGCAGCCAAGAAGACTAAAAGTAGAGTCCGCATGCAGGGAAGCCATCAGAAGGCACCCGAAAAGTCAATCCATGCTGATTTATAGTGTATACTGTAACGAGTTTGATGAAATTGGACATGAAGTACAAGGGAGCCAAGAAGACTAAAAATGATGGATTACTGGTACGCTTGAGCTGTCTTTATTTGTTCCGATCTTCGTCTCTTTGAATTTTTAACCATGGTCATGTTTGCTTTGTTCCTTACAGCTGACTTGGATTTGCTACAGTTTCACCAAGTTGTACATTCATAGTATATGTTTGCAAGATTTGATCTGCTACTTTGGATGCCCTGTTCATGCCTTCACTTCCCCCTGTTGGTTCAGCCATAGTGGCATAACAAGTATGCATTTCGAAATATCGTACTCGTCATTTTGAAATGATTAATTTGTCCTACATATGATCTGTTCGCAATAGTGCTGCCCAAAAACCATGGTCTAAATTTTGGCAGCCAATTTTTTTTTTACTTTCATTTAAACTAAGAATGCAGTTGATTGAATAACTATAATTGGTACCTCCAACTCAACTGTTTTGTTTTTGTCAAGTACATTGCCTCAATACTTTAGAGACGATGTATTTTTTCCTCTGATCAAATGAAAGAACTATCAATAATGCCACAGTACCTGCAGATTTCTTCGTCATAAAACCTTATGCCCAGGGCTACCTAAAATGCTCCTATGACTTTAGGAGTTTGATCATCATCAAGGCGCTTGAAATAAGGGGAATGGTTATGTTCACAGGGCGTATCTGTCATCTATTTACACTCTGAAAATGTATATAGCTTCTCTGGAGCCCTGAAACTTAGTATTTTTGTTTTTGTCAAAATCAAATTTCTTCAGAAGGTTATTAATTTTTTCCTCACAATATAAGTGGCCCTGGTATACAGGAGCATTGCATTACCAATTGTCCGATTGTTGGCAGTACGATTTGTATAATTTTCACAAAATGTACAGTTGGTTTGTCCAGTACTAACTAGGACCGTGTATGTTGCAGATCGCCTACTCTGCCAGGTGGCACCTGGTTTCTTTTTCTTCGTCCATGGCACATTACCCCCTGCAAAATAAAATGATGGCTGGTCTGCAGAAGCGCAATGCTCAAATAGATTGAGACTATGTATTTCCAAACGACGGTACTCACTTGTGTAGAATGGTTGCTCCCTTTCTGTATGTTCTCAAACGAGCTGTTACTGTTTTCAATATCCTAAGTGCCCTCTTTTATTCTGCAATTAATTTTCCGTTGGTCAATGAGACCCCAGGTCAAAGAAATATGGAGCCAGCCAAGTTAAATATTTGTTGAGAAAACACTTCTGTACAAGCTTCATTATTCAGCGCCACATGCTGTCATACCAAACTTGCCTAGGGTCTGGCCTAATTCCAAAGAACTTTTGGGTTAATATAACACTGCTACTGCCTGCATATATTTGGATAGTATGAACCTTGACGCTCCAGTGGTGGTGGCGTCCATAGCATAGTAGCATAGCAGAACGGGGCTACTCACGAGGCTGCCGGAACGAAGAGAAAACGAATCAATTATAGTTTGGTAAGTTTGCACTCTTTTATATTTGTTTAAGGATAAAATGAAGAAGGAAGAACTTGTGGGTTTGTTTGAACGCTAAACTAGATTTAAAACTATAATTTGATTGAATTTTTTGACCGTACGATGTTGTTTCGACCCTCACCGAGATAGGTGAGTTTCACTGAAAGTAGGTCATTGCAGACAGAATCCCAGAACCCATCTCGATCGCATAGGTTCCCTCCTTGCTATAGAGAAATGGAAGAGACGAACAGAATCTAAAGGAAGGGAGTTCGGCTTGGGTCTGGACTCATGGGCTGAGCCCATGCGGATCCAGGTGAAAAATAATTAAGCAAATGTTTAATTAATTTTTTTTAAGCAAACAGAAGGGGTGAAGCACCCCTATTGAAAAACTTTATTAAAAAACTTCAATTAATTAGCTGGGACTTTGAGATTCGTGCGATTTTTTGAAAGAGGAGTATTGGTGTTTTACTTTATTTATTATGTGTGTATCATTGGTAACAAAATTAAGTTTCCCCATTGAAACAAAATAAAATCTGAATAATATCTTCCCTTCATGAGGCGCTGAGTGGAGTCAACTGCAGATTAACCGTACCCCTGATTTCTATATTATTTTGGCGTGTTCTAATTGTGGTTATGTAAGCAAGTGACTAGAATGTACGTAGTAAAAGGTGGTAGAGATATTACGTTCAAAAAAAAAGTAGTAGAGATTAAAAAATCAACAGAAGAAGGATCCAGGAAGAGCTCCAGAAATTACCCCAACTATAATAATGCAAAAGGTACTGAAGACACAAGAAAGCGAACAGAAGGAGAACACGGGAAGAGCTCTCAAGAAATTCCCCACCTTCATGGCTTCTCGTCTCTAACCCCAACACCAAAATTCCTCCAAATCCAAAGATTATTCTTCAAGATGGTGCCAAGAGCAGTCTAATCCTATTGCTCCCACTCCGTTCTTGGCTGATTGGGTGGTGCATTCGCCGGCGTCCGTACCGTTGTCACGTGAGCCGTCGCCGTCGCCGACCGGCCGGCCATGCCGTGGGGCGCATTGCCTTGGAAGGTCTTGCTTGCTGGCTACCTGCTGGCCTTACTTGTTGCTGCCGCGGCGATTAAGGAGTTGACCGTTGTGATTAAGGTTCTCCCTTTGAGATAAGCTCTGAATATTCTGATTGTGATTTCACACCATTGTTGGCTTGTTGCTGACAGAGAGGGGAGCTAGCTAGGAGGTTGAGATGGCGGGCATGGTGGTGAGCGCTGCATCCGGGGTGTTTACCTCACTCCTCTCCGAGCTATCAGACCTGTTCACTGACCTGTACAAGCAACGCAAGGGGGTCCGAAGGGATATTGAGTTCCTCTGCAGTGAGTTGACTGACATGAATGGAGCACTGGAGAAGCTGGCGGGCATGGAGAAGCTTGATATATCCAAACAAAGGTGTGGAGAGACAAGGTTCGCGAGATGGCCTACGATATCGAGGACAGTGTTGACATCTTCATGCATGTTGTAACATGGCCTCCGAGAGTGGAGGAGACCTGCGCGGCCAACAGTTCGCAAAGACGTCTCCGACCAACTACCTAAGCAAAGGCCCGGCTACCACGCCTCTAGACCCAAAAAGATGACGGTTTCTCAGACTGCTTGTAGGACGCCGCCGGTGACCCTGGCGCAGCCTCCGCTCGGTTGGCTCGCAGGCGCCTCTGGGCGGAGGGGGCAGAGGCCGCCCCGCTGCAAGGCTAATCAAATGCCAACGTTACCTACGTGTGTGTGCAGGTAACCAGAGGAAGGCGCTCGTGGACGGCGCGGGCGCACCGGTTCGGCCTCCGCTCGCAGGGGCAGAGACCCAAGCAAAAGGATGGCAATACTGGGCGTCGGGGGTCTGCGGCCTCGACGCCCCAGGGGCGGAGACCGATGGCGGAGGCCTAAAGGCCCATCACCGAATCCTGAGGCCTGATGGGCCGGCTAATCGCGCAGGCCCAGTACTTGAGGGCGATAAAACAAGATTACCCCCGAGAAGAAAGGCGAGTAGTGGGATATTCCGAGAATGTACTGTAGCAGTTGAAGGGTACTATTGTAAACTCTGTAAAAGTGGTAGTTGAGCCCTATAAATAGGGAACACTTGTAACAGTACGGGAGGTTGGTGGATGAATTAATAAAACCCTAGTTTTACGTGTCATTTCCCTACATGCCCGCTTGTCGTGTCTGTTTCCCGAGCCTCAACCTGAGGGCAACGCTTGGTGGGCGGAGGCCTCCACCTCCTCCACATTGTCTGAGACCGCAAGTCTCAACATTGGCGCCCACCGTGGTTTGGCCAAGGCAAACCAACGATGGCAGGGAAAAGAAAAACCACCACCAGAGCAGCAACGACCACGGGTCAGTGAGGAAGGCCTAGGCGCACCACTCGTAGCACCTACGCAACCTCGCCAGCGGAGGATGACACCAGAGCAGATGCCCAGGGTCAACCACCGGAACCCCAAGATACAGAGATTCAAGATCCGGAGGCCCAACCAAACTCAGCCACAACACTCGAGCAAGAACTGCAACAGCTGCAAGCACAGTTGCAAAGAGCGCAACAAGAGAAGGACATAATGGCAGCAGCATTCGCAGCTTATCAGCAAGCTATTCAAGCGTCAGCACAAGCAGCAGAAATAAGGCAGCAGTTGGCAGTCCTACATGTTGAGATGCTAAGTATGCAGCATGCAGTACCAGCGTCAACCTCCGCAATCCCAGCCTCTGCAGCAACACCAACTGCAACCATACCACAAGGGCCTCCGCCAGTGATCAGCCAGCCCACGATGCCATCTCAGGTGATGCGGAGGCCTATCGATCCCAAGTCCCCACTCTCTGAAGGCATACAACAGTCGCCATGGCCAACGGCGTACAAGTCAATCACACTACCAAAGTTCAACGGAAAGACAGACCCCCATCAGTTCATTATGAGTTATGAGGCAGCAGTAGCCTCTGCCGACGGAGATGACGCCGTCTTGGCAAAGTCATTTGTCATTGCAGCCGAAGGCGACGCGTTGGCTTGGTATTCTATGCTCAAACCAAGCATAGTCTATTCTTGGGAGAACCTCCGGGACAAGATATTAGCAAACTTCAAAGGGCTAACAGCACAGTCGCTGACTTCCACAGATCTGTTCTAGTGCAAGCAAATGCAGGGAGAGACACTACACGACTACTTCCAGAAATTCGTGCAACTAAAGGCGAAGGCACCAGACGTCCCAGACGAGATCGCCATTGAAGCAGCGATCAAAGGCCTCCGAATCGGGCCGTTCGCAGCACACCTAGGAAGAAAGAAACCAACTTCCATACAACAGTTGTATGACGAGTTCGAGAAATACTACATATCAGACAATGACCTCTGGAAAAGGCTGGAGGAGCAGGGTCAAAACAGACAGCAAAACAGCAACAAAAACTCCTAGAAAACCTATACGAACCAGAATGGATCAAATCAGAAACTAGGCCAGGGGCAAGTGCTCAGCATAGAGGGTCAACCTCACCCCGAGCAAGGGCAATCGGCAGCGCCAGCACGGCCAGAGACCCAGACCAGGAACCATGGTCGGCAAGGTTACCAAGGCAAAAACTG